TGCCATGTTTAGGTAAGGCCATGCCCCTCCTCATTTTCACCTGCCGGTGGGGAGTCTCACAGAGTGGAAAAATTGAAAATGTTTTGGAAAGTAAGCTTGTACGAGCAATGCAAACAACTTTTATACAGAGCGTGCACCAGGAGAAATTGGCTGTAGCATGCTCTCGCACGCGTTTAATATGCATTCCCTCTCTGGAGCGAGTACAGGGTTGTGCATGTGCATTTTAAGTGGAGAGGGCAGGTCTTTAAGGCCCTTTTGCTAAGAATCCAACTTGCCCAAATTGTTTAATCCTACAGCCCCCCCATTTTTAAAAAGGTGATTATGCTTCAGATAATTAGCATATTCTTCAGCTAAGTATATCATTCTGGAAGTATTTTCATATTTGATGTTTATTATCCATACAGTCTCAAATCTTCCTGAGAAAATCAATGGTCAATTCTCCAGCCATGAAGCTTTGTCACACCAAAGCTAAAATGTCAACCAAACTCACCTGTAATTCCAGCGAACAGGATCTCCGTGTGACTTTTCAAATGGAAAATGAAACATGGATCTGCTCTGATAATTTTTTAATCAAACAAACAAAGTAACATAAATGTGCTCACTAAGCTTAAATATTTACAATAAAATGTTAAAAATAAATAATTCCCTATGTGTAAAACTAACATATCCATCCATGCATCACACCATCTTGCTGTGCAACCAGTGGAGTGTTTCATCAGTGTTTAAAGCCCAGGCATCATGTAAACAATGTTTTCCAGAGTAGAGACCTTTAAGATGAAAAAAGAAACAGATTTAAACAGGATTTTTTTGAAAAAAGTAGCTTAAAGTAGTGTGTACTTGCAGCCTGGCTCACCAGTGTGTCCTCTGTGCAACTTGTCAGCTCAGGTATCTGTGTTGTGAGACACATTAGAGGAGCCAGCGCACATAGAAAAGAGTCCAAGAGCAAAGAGAGGCTGCTCGACACGCACACCGTTTTCTACAGGGAGACACAGAGAGCCCAGTGTGCCTCCTTCAGGCCATGGATATGTTGGGGCAAAGTGCAGCTGCAATTTCAGTAAAAAGTGGCTCCACACTGTTCTGACTCAGAGAAGCTAAGTACCAACATGCCACTTTATTCTCTATTTTAAAGTGTGAAACATTTTATTTTCCTTATGCTTAACTCACTATAATTTTACTTATTTGTTTTGGGTAAGCAAACCAAGCAGCTGTTTAAGATACTACAGACAACCCGAAGGGCAAATTTATATAGATTTTTTGTTTTCTTAGTAATTTTTATAGGATTATTGGAAGGAAAAAAAAAAAAACACAATTTCATGATAAATTGAGTTTCTTTTAAGAAAATATTTTTATGATCATGTAGAAATTCTTAACAAAGCATGCAAAAAAATTTTCTTTTTTTTATTTGCAAGCTTGACGCACAAGCAGACAAACCAGTGAAGACTCGTCTTTATAGATGGAAAAGCTCTTGGAACTCCCTAAGGCACTTTACCTGATTTGAACTGAACTTTTCTCAAAATAAGATCTGCTAGTTGTTCCCAAACCTTTGGAAAGCTCTACAAAAGGCCTTCCCTCTCCTACAGACAGTTGCATAAGCAGAGCACAGTCTTTCCTACCTTAAATTAATAAGAACCATTTGGGATTTTCTGTGGCAGCTGAGCTGACAGTCCATGATTAGTAAGAACAACAAAGCTACTTATGATACTAATACTTTTGCAGTCAGAGGTGCAGGTTTTAAGGAGTGAGTTGAATACTAAGGACACTACATTTAAATAGCCTTAAAGCTTCATCTTTCAACTTTAGGTTTTGGTTTTTAAACACATTTTGTTTCTGTATCACGTAACTTTTACTTGCATCGTTTAAATGTGTGCGTTAGAGTTATTTTATTT